TATCTTTATAATAGAACGATTTGTAATCCTTTGGATATATACCCAGTAATGGGATTGCTGGGTCAAATGGAATTTCTATTTCTATGTCCTTGAGGAATCGCCACACTGTCTTCCATAATGGTTGAACTAATTTACACCCCCCACCAACAGTGTAAAAGTGTTCCTATTTCTCCACATCCTCTCCAGCATCTGCTGTCCCCAGATTTTTAAATGATCACCAGTCTAACTGGCGTGAGATGGTATCTCAATGTGGTTGTGACTTGCATTTCGCTAATGACCAATGATGAGCATTTTTTCATATGTTTGTTGGCTACATATTTGTCTTCTCTTGAAAAATGTCTGTTCATATCCTTCACCCACTTTTGAATGGGTTTGTTGTTTTCTTGTAAATCTGCTTTAGTTCTTCGTGGATTCTGGATGTTAGCCCTTTGTCAGATGGGTAGATTGCAAAAATTTTTTCCCACTCTCTTGGTTGCTGGTTTACTCTAATGATGGTTTCTTTTGCTGTGCTGAAACTCTTAAGTTTAATTAGATCCCGTTTGTCTATTTTGGCTTTTGTTGCCATTGCTTTTGGTGTTTTAGTCAGGAAGTCCTTGCCTGTGCCTATGTCCTGAATGATGTTGCCTAGGTTTTCTTCTAGGGTTTTTATGGTGTTCTTATGCGTAAATCTTTAATCCATCTGGAGTTAATTTTAGTGTAGGTGTCAGGAAGGGGTCTAGTTTCTGCTTTCTGCACATGGCTAGCCAGTTTTCCCAACACCATTAAACAGGGAATCCTTTCCCCATTTCTTGCTTTTGTCAGGTTTGTAAAGATTAGATGGTTGTAGATGCGTGGCATTGTTTTCTAGGCCTCTGTTCTGTTCCACTGGTCTTTATGTCTGTTTTGGTATCAGTGCCATGCTGTTTTGATTACTGTAGCCTTGTAGTATAATTTGAAGTCAGGTAGCATGATGCCTCCAGCTTTTTTTTGTTTTGTTTTGTTTTGTTTTTGGTGTTTTGTTTTGCTTAGGTTTGTCTTGACTATGTGGGTTCTTTTGGTTCCATATGAAGTTTAAAGTGATTTTTTTCCAGTTCTGTGAGGAAGGTCAATGGTAGCTTGATAAGGATAGCATTGAATCTATAAATTACTTTGGGTAGTATGGCCATTTTCACAATATTGATTGTTCCTAACCATGAGCATGGAATGTTTTTCCATCTGTTTGTGTCCTCTTATTACCTTGAGCAGTGGCTTGTAGTTCTCCTTGAAGAGGTCCTTTATATCCTTTGTTAGTTGTATTCCTAGGTATTTTATTCTCTTTGTAGCAATTGTGAATGGCAGTTCGTCCTTGATTTGGCTCTGTGTGTCTGTTATTGCTATATAGGAATGCTTGTGATTTTCTGTACATAGATTTTGTATCCTCAGACTTTGCTGAAGTTGCTTATCTTAAGGAAATTTTGGGGCTGAGATGATGGGGTCTTCTAAATACACATTGTCCGTAAATAGAGACAATTTGACTTCCTGTTTTCCTAACTGAATACCCTTTATTTCTTTTTCTTCCCTGATTGCTCCAGCTAGAACTTCCAATGCTATATTGAATAGGAGTAGTTACAGAGGGCATTCTTGTCTAGTGCCAGCTTTCAAAGGGAATACTTCCAGTTTTTGCCTGTTGCATGGTATGATACTGGCTGTGGGTTTGTTGTAAATAGCTTTTATTATTTTAAGATATGTTCCATCAATACCTAGTTTATTGAGGGTTTTTAGCATAAAGGGCTGTTGAATTTTGTCAAAGGCCTTCTCTGCATCTATTGAGATAATCATGTGGTTTTTGTCTTTGGTTCTGTTTATGTGATGGATTACATTTATAGATTTGCATATGTCCAACCAGCCATGCATCCCTGGGATGAAGCCTCCTTGATCGTTGATGGATAAGCTTTTTGATGTGCTGTTGTATTCGGTTTGCCAGTATTTTATGGAAGATTTTTGCACCGATGTTCATCATGGATATTGACCTGAGGTTTTCTTCTTTTGTTGTTTCTCTGCTGGATTTTGGTATTAGGATGATGGTTGTCTTATAAAATGAGTTAGGGATAATTCTCTTTTTGTATTGTTTGGAATAGCTTCAGAAGTAATGGTACCAGCTCTTGTCTGGTAGAATTTGGCTCTGAACCCATCTGGATCTGTACTTTCTTTGGTTGGTTATTAATTGCTAAGGCTATTAATTGCTGCCTCAACTTCACTCCTTGTTATTGGTCTATTCAGGGGTTCAACTTCTTTCTGGTTTAGTCTTGAGAGGGTGGAAGTGTCCAGAAATTTATCCATTTCTTGCATAGAGTTGTTTATGTGCATAGAGTTGTTAGTAGTAATCGCTGATGGTAGTTTGTATTTCTGTGGAATTGGTGGTGATATCCCCTTAATTGTTGCTTATGGAATCTATTGGACTCTTCTCTCTTTCCTCTTTCACTAGTCTGGCTAATGGTCTGTCTATTTTGTTCATCTTTTCAAAAAACCACTCCTGGATTGATTTTTTTTTGTTGTTTGTTTTGTTTTTTTGAAGAGTTTTTTTGTGTCTGTGTCCTTCAGTTCTGCTCTGATCTTAGTTATTTCTTGTCTTCTCCTAGCTTTTGAGTGTTTTGATCTTGCTCCTCTAGCTCTTTCAATTTTGACAATAAGTTATCGATTTTGGATCTTTCCTCACTTCTCATATGGGCCTTTATTGCTACAAATTTCCCTCTAGACACTGCTTTAAATGTGACCCAGAGATTCTGCTATGTTGTGTCTTCATTCCCTTTGGTTTCAAAAAACATCTTTATTTCTGCCTTCATCTCATTGTTTATCCAGTCATCATTCTGGAGCAAGTTGTTCAGTTACCATGTATTTTGGAGTTTTGAGTGAGATTACAATCCTAATTTGATTGCACTATGATCTGCGAGACTGTTTGTTATGATTTCCATTCTTTTGCATTTGCTGAGAAGTGATTTACTTCCTATGATGTAGTCAATTTTGGAGTAAGTGTGATGTGGTGTTGAGAATATACATACAGTATATTCTGTGGATTTGGGGTATATATTCTGTGGATTCTGTGAACTGCATATTCTGTGGATTTGGGGTGGAGAGTTCTGTAGATGTCTATTAGGTCTGCTTGGTCTAGATCTGCGTTTAAGTCCTGGATATCCTTTTGGATTTTGTCGCGTTGATATGCCCAATATTGACAGTGGAGTGTTAAAGTCTCCCACTGTTAGTGTGTGGGAGCCTAAGTTTCTTTGTAGCTTATTAAGAACTTGCTTTATGTATCTGGGTGCTTCCATATTGGGTGCATATATATTTAGGATTGTTAGCTCTTCTTGTTGCATTGATCCCTTTATCATTGTGTAATGCCCTTCTCTGTCTCTTTTGATCTTTGTTGGTTTAAAGTCCATTTATCAGAGACTAGGATTGCAACTCCTGCTTTTTTTGCTCTCCATTTGCTTGGTAAATCTTCTTCCATCCCTTTATTTTGAGTCCATGTGTGTCTTTGCACATGAGTTGGGTCTCTTGAATATAGCACACGGATAGGTCTTGACTTATCAGGTTTGCCAGTCTGCATCTTTTGATTGGGGCATTTAGGCCAGTTACATTTAAGGTTAATATGGTTATGTGTGAACTTGATCCTGCCATGTTGTTACTGGCTGGTTGTTTTGCCTGTTGATGCAGTTTCTTCATTGTGTCATTGGTCTTTACCATTTGGTATGTTTTTGCAGTGGCTGGTACTGGTTGTTCCTTTCCATGTTTGGTGCTTCCTTCAGGAGCTCTTGTAAGGCAGGTCTGGTGGTGATGATATTTCTCAGCATTTGCTTGTTGATAAAGGATTTTATTTCTCCTTCACTTATGAAGCTTAGTTTGGCTGGATATAAAATTATGGGCTGAAAGTTCTTTTCTTCAAGGATGTTGAATATTGGCCCCCACTCTCTTCTGGCTTGTAGTGTTTCTGCTGAGAGATCTGCTGTGAGTCTGATGGGTTCCCTTTGTGGGTGACCAGACTTTTCTCTCTCTGCCCTTTGCATTTTTTCCTTCATTTCAACCCTGGTAAATCTGATGATTATGTGCCTTGGGTTTGCTCTTCTTGAGGAGTATCTTTGTGGTGTTCTCTGTATTTCCTGGATTTGAATGTTGGCCTGCCTTGTTAGTTTGGGAAATTTCTCCTGGATAATATCCTGAAGAGTGTTTTCCATCTTGGATTTTCAATCTCCCCATCACATTCAGGTACACCGATCAAGTGTAAATTAGGTCTTTTCAATACTCCCATGGTTCTTGGAAGCTTTGTTCGTTTCTTTTCCCTCTTTTTCCTCTAGTTTTGACTTCTCATTTGATTTCATTGAGTAGATCTTCAATCTGATATCATTTCTTCTGCTTGATTTTGGCTATTAAAACTTGTGTATGCCTCACAAAGTTCTCATGCTGTGTTTTTCAGCTTCATCAAGTAGTTAATGTTTTTCTCAAAGTTGATTATTCTAGTTAGCATTTTGTCTAGGGTTTTAGTTTCTTTGCATTGGGTTAGAACATGTTCCTGTAACTCAGAAGTTTGTGGTTACCCACCTTCTGAAGCCTGCTTCTGTCAGTTCATCAAACTCATTCTCCATCCTGTTTTGTTACCTTGCTGGTGAGTTGTGATCTCTTGGAGGAGGAGTGGCATTCTGGTCTCTGGTGTTTTCATATTTTTTGTGCTTGTTTCTTGCCATCTTGGTGGATTTATCTACCTTTGATTTTTGAAGTTGGTGATTTCGGAATGGGTCTCTTAGTGGACATCCTTTCTGTTGATGTTGAAGTTATTTCTTTTTGTTTTTCAGTTTTTCTTCTAACAGGCCCCTCTGCTGTAGGACTGCTGGAGGTTCACTCCAGACCTTGCTTGCCTGAGGATCACCCATGGGGCTGTAGAGCAGCAAGGATTGCTGCCTGATCTTTCCTCTGGTAGCTTCATCTCAAAATGGTAACCACCAGGTGTCAGCCAGAGCTCTCCTGTATGAGGCATTTTTTTTCATGATTCTGGGGTCAGAGAGCCACTTAAGTAGGTAGTCTGTCCCTTGTCTGCCTTCAGAGATGCTGCTGGGCTGCCTCAGACTCAGCCCCGCTGCTGTGTAGGCTTCCTCTGGCTTTTGTTTAAACGGGTGTGATTAGAACTATCTTTGTATGGTTGATGCCCTTCCTCCCACTAAGCTCTATTGTCTCCCGTTGATCTCAAACTGATAGGCTGGCTATGAAACTCTCAAGCCAGAGGGCTTCAGTTTGCTGGTGTTTGTGTGGGTGGGACCTGCCAAGCCTTATCACCTGTCTCCCTGCTTTCAGCTCTCCTTCTTGGGGGGTAGGTAGATCTGTCCCACAGGTGCTGTTGGTGCTAGTCAAAACTTCTGCCCAGCTCTGTGCCAACAACTAGCAGTGCTGGGCCAGCTGCAGTGTCGCTCAGATTTGTGTTGGTAACTCACCGTGCTTTTCAGCCCAGTGTTGTTATCCTGGACTGTGGGTTGCAAAGGCCATGGGAGAAGTGCGGTATCTGAACCAGAGTGCTGAGGAGTTCAAGTATGATCCTCAGGCCAGTTGTACTTCCTGGTGTGGCAGCACCCTGCCCTGCCTCAGTTTGCCCTCCTTCGGCTACACCACTGTCCAACTAGTCACAGTGAAATGAATCTGGTACTTTGGTTGGAAGTGTGGAGATCACTTGCTTTCTACATCTCTGACTGGGAACTGTGCTCTGGAGCTGTTTCCATTTGGCCATCTTGGTGGAAGTCAATAGGTTCAAAATCTCACATATCTTCCTTTCATTAGCTGGTTGTTATGTAGACATGGTTGTGTAGTTGCTTTATAGGGTCTGTGGGCTATGTGCTTAAGTATTTGTGATATCACATTGTGTTCTTTTGATCCCATGTGTAGTACTCCCTAAAAGACTTCCTACAGGGCTGATATTGTTGAAATAAATTTGCTTAGCATTTGCTTCTCTGAGAAGGATTTTGTTTTCCCTTCATTTATGAAGTTTAGTTTGGTGGAAAATAAAATTCTTGTTTGGAGTATTTTTTTTTTTTTGAGGATGGTGAAAATAGGGCCCCCAGTCTCTCGTGGCTCACATGATTTGCAGTGGACCTATCAGCAGAAGCCTGATAGTTTCCCTGTGTGTGACCTGACTTTTTTTCTCTAGCTGTCTTTAAGATTTTTTCTTTTATGTTCATCTTGGTAAATGTGATAACTAAGTGTCTTTGGGATGGTCAACTTGTATCTAGGCAAAATTCTCAGTATTTCTTGAATTTGAATGTTAACATCTCTAGCAAGATTAGGAAAATTTTTGTGGACTGTATCCTCAAATATATTTTGAAAGTTGCTTATTCTGTCTTCTCTGTGATGCCAATGAGACATAGATTTGGTCTCTTTATATGTATTTCTCAGGTTTTATTCACTTAAATTCTTTTATTTTTCTCAGACTGAGTTGATTTGAAGAGCTGATCTTTGAGCTCTGTGATTCTTTGCTCAGCTTGGTCTATTACATTGTTAGTATTTCTGATTGTATTATGAAATTCTTATATTCTGTTTCCCCCCCAACTCAAGGAGTTGAGTTTGAGGCTTTAAAAATGTGTTTTTTTCTTTTAGCTCTTGAATTGTTTTACTGGGTTGCTTGGCTTCTTTCGATTGGATTTCACTTTCTCCTGGATCTTGATGAGCTTCTTTGCCATCCAGGTCTGAATTCCATGTCTGTCATTTAAGTCATTTCATGTTGGTTAGGAACAATTGCTGTGGAGCTAGTGGGCTCATTTGGAGCTAAGGAGACACTCTGGATTTTTAATTTGCCAGAATTCTTGGAGTGGTTCTTTCTCATCTGAGACTGTTGGTGTGCCTTTAACCAAGATATTAATTGAGTATAGTCAGTTGGCTTCATTTCTGGAAGTTTTAGAGGGCTAATGCTCTGTACAGTCTTTTTTTGTTGAATTTTTGCCCTTGATTTCATAGAAAGGAGAATTAGCAAAGTGTGTCTTTGGGGTTTTTTAAAATTTATTTATTTATTTATTTATTTGGTTTTGTAGTTTTGGCTGTGATTTAGTAGGTGGTGCATGAGAGCAATGGATGGTAGAAAGGCTCTTATTGAGCCACACTGCTCCTTTGGGTATCCTCATGTTTGGAGCTGTGCTCTACAGTACCAGTGGGAGAGAAGTTTTGATGCCCTTACCAGGCCTGCTCCTGGGTCTTGGGGCAGCCACCTCTGATCACTTACACTGCATCCACAATTTTTAAAAATTGTTGTTAGATGTTTCTTTCCATGGGGCTCCACTAGAGATCTAGTGGGGAAGTAGGCCCTACCTTTACTGAGCCAGCCCTGTGGAAAGAGACACACTTAAGTCCCACAGAAGCCAACAAACCTGTGTGACCTGTTTTCTGAGTGTGCACTCCTCCCCTGCTTGAGTTAGGCACAGATCCTGACTCAGCATTCTGTTTATATTAATTTTTAAAAAATGTAATAGTGATAATAAATTCACAAAATTTACCATCTTAGCCATATCTAAGTATACAGTTTAGGAGTGTTAAGTACATTCAAATTGTTGTGTGACCAATCTCCAGAATTTTCCAAAACTGGGATTCTACACCTATTAGACAGTAACCCTTTATTCTCACTTCGACCCATCTTATGGAAACCACTGTGCTGCCTGATATTTCAATGAAGTCAACTACTCTAGATACCTCATATAAGAGGATCATGCAGTATTTGTCTTTTTGTGATTTGGCTTATTTCACTTAGCATAATGACCTCAAGATTCATCCATGTTGTAGCATGTGTCAGATTTTCTTTCCCTTGTAAAAATGTGTGTGTGTGTGTGTGTGTGTGTGTGTGTGTACTACACATTTATATCACTTTCTATATATCACATTTTGGTGTGATGACTAGGAAATCATAGCCAAATTCAATATCAGGAAGCTTTTCCCTATGTTTTCTTCAAAAAGTTTTATAGTTTTAGGTCTTACATTTAGGTCTTGAATCCATTTTGAGTTAATTTTTACATATGGTTTAAAGTAAGAGTCCCACTTAATCCCTTTTTATGTAGATATCCAGTTTTCTGAGGACGATCTGGGAAAAGACTGTCCTTTTCCCATTCTGTCATCTTGACACCTTTGTTGAAGATCATTTGACCATATATGTGAGTGTTTATTTCTAGGCTCTCTTTTATTCCATTGGTCTATATATATTGGTCTATTCCATATACCTGTCTTTTGTCATTACTACACTGTTTCGATTATGGTGACTTTGTAGTAAATTTTGAAATTAGAAGGTGTGAGATCTTCAGCTTCAAGATTGTGTTGGCTGTTTGGGCTCTGAGACTTCATGTGAATTTCAGGATAAATTTTCCTGTTTCTGCAAAATTGCCATTAGGATTTTTATAGGGATTGCAAGAAACATTAAAAATGTGTGTCATTTTCTGAAGTATTGACCTCTTAACAATGTTAAGTCTTCTAATTCATAAGCATGTCATGTCTTCGTTTCTCTCTTCTTTAAAAATCACAATGCAGTGTTTAGAGAAATTAATGTACAAGTCTTTCATCTTTGTTTAAATTTATTCCTACATATTCATCCATTTTTATGTTATTATAAGTGGAACTGTTTTCTTGACTTCCTTTTTAGATTATTAATATAAAAACACAATTGATGTATGTGTATTAATTTTGTATTCTGCAACTTTGCTGAATTCATTTATTCTAATGGATTTTTTAGGTAGAATTGTTAGGGCTTTCTACATGTAAGATCATGTTGTCTGTGAACAGAGATAAGTTTACTTCTTCCATTCAGATTCAGATGACTCTCATTTCTTTTTCCTGAATGTTGTTCTAGCTAGAACTTTCAGTACAGTATTAAATAGAAGTGGCCAAAACATAATTTTTGTCTTGTTTTCATTCTTAGAAAGCTTTCAGTGTTTCACCATCAAGCATGATATTATCTGTGGGCTTTTCCTATATGACCTTTATTATGTTGAGATTGATTTTTTTTGTGTGTTTCTTGTGAATTTAATGTTGTTTTATTATGAAGCTCTGCTAATTCTTAGTTCTTTGGATTGTATTATGTCTACTGACCTAATGTTAGGTTTACTGATTCTTTATTCTGCCAGTCAAAGCTACTAAGTTTCTTGAGTAAATTTTTCATTTCAGTTACTGTACTTTTTAATGCCAGAATTTCCATTGGTTAACCTAAAAAATAATTTCTACCTCTTTATTCTCTATTTAAAGACATTCTCTCATAGCTTCCTTTTCTCATTCAAGTAAAATTAGTTCCTGGAAGCTATTTATAAAGATAATGTTGACATCTTTCTTAAATTTGATCTGAGCTCTCACTGTCTTTTTGCCTCTTTTTTTCCCTATGTTTGTGTCACTCTTTCCTATTTCCTTGCACATTTTTCTTTTCTTGTTAAAAAGTGAACGTTCTAGATAAATATCTCATTCCATCAATTAATTCTGTGCCTCGTGGGTCTTGTTTTTGTTGTTGTTGCTTGTTCGTTTAGTTATTTGGCTAGACTATTTCAGTGAATTGTTTATCCTCCCAAGTGTGAAGCCTTTGGTTTTGCTCTTCACATGGAGCAGCCTTGGGTGTGTGCACAGTTATCCTGGCCCTGGCACTGTCTGTTTTTCTTATTAGTTACGCCTTTATTTTTTGTCATAGCCAGATTTTAGGCCCCACTCCTTGCCAGGTGACCCTTCTATTCTTCTAGACAATTCCGTGGGGCATGAATTTTTTCACACTATGATCCAATTAAGCTTGAGCAGGGTAGCTTGTCTGAGGTTTATTCTGACCCCAGGAGGGATCTTAGATTTCTCTGGCTCTCTGTGGTGAACTGGCCTATGGTTTGTTGTTGTTAATTAAGAAAATCTATTGTTTTTGAGAGCATTCTAAAGCTTGACCTTCTCTACCCTCTGTTTCAAAAAAAGTTAGTTCATTTGGGGAGAGTTTTAGAGCTCTGTTCTTATGAACTGCCTCTCCCCTTGGGTAAAATCTTTAAGTCACTCTTCTGCAAGCTTGATGGGGAAGTCTTTCTCTGTTTTGGAACCTGAATTGAGCTTGTATGAGGGTGATGGGGGCCCTAGTTTTCTTTGACTGCTACATATGGGATCTCTCTGTCCTATGAGTGGGTACCAGTTAGAGGAAGGGATCTCCCCACCTTTCAGATGCCCTCACCAGGAATTTAGCCTCCTCCACTCAATTGGAGGGCATGAGAAATGCTAGGGACCTAAGCTGTGGATAAGAAATTGTATCCCTTCAAGGCAGGCTGAGGGGATAGGGGGCCCTGCAGTCTTAGCCACATCCATCCAGAGTAGAGCTTCTGTCAAGGTTAGTTGAGATTAGGGGAAAGGGAAGAAGTTACCTTGCCTTTTTTTTTTTTTTTTTTTTTTTTCTTTTTTTAAAAACCAAGTCGTAGTAGATTTTTTTTTGAATAATAATTTTTTGTTTTACTGTATGCCCTTGGGACAATTTTCACAAATTATTGTCTTTCAAATAGCTTTTATTGGTCATTTTTATTTCAATAAACAGTCACTTTATAAGTGTTCTCATGTGACTATCCCAGATGATCCTTACCAATTTTTGATCACTTACTTTCTGGCACAATGATATTTCAGGCTCTCCTGTCTTTCACTGCCCCAGTCTTGAATGTAGCCAACTTCTCACAGAATCTTCCTTTCCATTCAGAGAACAGCGTTTACAAATTAGATATGTATGCCAGCTGTGTTATTTGCTATTCTGTGGTGTCATTGCTTTCAGTCCCTTTCAAGCTGACAGAGCTAGCAGGAAAATATGTATGTATATATATTCGTTCTGATTCCTTTAATTTCAGTCCAGTGCTATAAGTTCCTTCCTCTTGTTCCTGTGCTCTTATTCCACAGTGAGAAACCTGTGAGTAATATCAATATATTTTTTTATTTGCTCTATCTTACAATAAATGTTAAAAATTGACACCAATACAGTTACCAGTAATAAACGTTAAGTAAAATTTAGGATTCCTTTGCAATTGACACTGTTCTTATATTATCCCTTGGAGGATAAAACAGCATACTTGGTTCAAGATATATTTGAGTTAATTTTAAAAAACAATGTAGGTGTTATTAATTTGATACACAACTTGTTTAAAGTTAGTTTCAGAATTCTATCCTTTCTAATTTTAGATTTTGAAGATGTAAAATCTTAACATGATTTAAAGTAAAAATTATACAGCCCCTGTTCCCACCTATTTTATATAGGTAACACTTTTATTAGTTTCTGGTTGCTCCTATATTTCTTTTTGCAAATTTAAAATTATTATAATAAATATAGACCAGGCATGGTGGCTCATGCCTATAATCCTAACACTTTGGGAGGCGGGGGTGGGAGGATTGCTTGAGGTCAGAAGTTTGAAACCAGCCTGGGCAATATAGTTAGACTTTATGGAAAAAATTAATATATTCATATTCTTTTTCCTTTTTCTTCTTGCACAAAAGTTTGCATAATATAAATGCTCTCTTGAAACTTTTATCTCTTAATAATATGATGTGGAAATGGTAACATTTTACAGACAGCTTTACTTTTTAAAGCGCTGAATTGTTTAAATGGTTCCATGTATAAATATAATTTAATCAGCCAGTTTTCTTTTTTAAAAAACAACATATGTATTTGTCATAGAGATGGCATCTCGCTATGTTGCTCAGGCTGATTTTGAACTCCTGGTCTCAAACAGTCCTCCTACCTCAGTCTCCCAAAGTGCTGGGATTACAGGCCTGAGCCATTCTGCTTGGCCATTCAAAGCATTTTCTAACCAATGGACATTTGACTTGTTTTTCATACTTGGTACAAATAACACTATTTTAACAATCTTATATCTAATTTTTTCTTTTTTTGAGATGTATTCAGGTTAAATTCCTGAACGTGGGATTTCTGAATCAAAGCTTAAATACATAGTTTTGTTAGATATTGCCAAATTCCCTATCATAGGGGAATTTATTAGTTCCCTAGGGCTATAATAACAAATTACCACAAACTGAGTGGCCTAAAACAACAGATATGTATTCCCTCACTGGAAGCTAGAAGTCTAAGATTAAGGTGTTCGCAGAGCTATGCTCTCTAAAAAGTCTAAGGGAGGATCCTTTCTTAACTCTTTCTAGCTTCTAGTGGTTGCTGACAATCTTGGATCTCTTTGGCTTATAATTGCATAAGTCCAACCCCTGCCTCTGTTTTCACATGGTGTTCATCCATGTGTGTGTGTGTGTGTGTGTGTGTGTGTGTGTGTGTACAAACTGTATATTTCTGAATTTAGTAAGGATACTAGATATTGGATTAGGGCCCATCTTAATCCAGGATGACCTCATCCTAACTTGATTGATTACATTTGTAAAGACCCTATTTCTAAATAAGGTCACATTCATAAGTACTAGGGGTTACGATTGAACATATCTTTTTGTAGGACACAATTAAACCAACTATAATGTGCTACCCTTTTTACTGCCATTTGCTACAAAAGAGTGTCTGCTTCCTCATTGTCTTCGCAAAAGACAGTGTTGCCAAATCATTGATGTATTTGCTAACTATATAGGTCCTACAGGATATCTCAGCATTTCTATTTCTCTTATTATGGATGCTGACTGTCTTTTATATTTTACACCATTTTGTCTCTTTTTAGGCTGTAATTAAAAGTGTCATGAAAATTTCAAACATTCAGAAAAGTAGAGGGCACTTTTTAATGAGTGCGTATTTCGGGCATCTGGCTTAGTTGTCAACATTTTACCAGTCTTGTTTTATCCTATCATTCATCTGTAAGAACTTTAATATGTAACTAACATCTAGAACTTAAAAGACAACATAATAGCAATACCATCATTATACCTAACAAAATTATAAATTATTCCTTAATTTTATCAAATCCCAGTCTGAGCTGAGGTTGTCTAAAAAATCTTTTTAGTATTTAATATATTAACTGAAGGCATTGGACAAGATTGTGCCTCCTGTCCTTTTTCATTTAAAAATTCAGAGATTTACTCTCCAATTGACAATAAATGAAGAGAAACCTTGCTATTGTAAGCCTTGAACTACTGCTGTGTAATGATCTCATTACTTACTGGTGAATGCCGCAGAGCACTGTTTCCAAGATTTCTTCAGTTAGTAATAGTCTTATTTATTGTGTTACCATTAGATTGTTATCTATTTCTTCCCTGGAAATAGAGCGACTTGGTTCTGTAATGGGACTTTGTTCTGAAACCATTTTTCAGATATGACAGTAGACTATAATGTCACTTTAATTTTGCTGTAGGCTTAATAGGGAGTGAAAAATGTCATTGGTGATGGTATGATTACAGGCCCATCATTTTTTTTCTCATTTGCTATATCCTATTCTTCCAGAATCTTGGCTTTACCTTTTCACTGTTCCCCACATATCTGCATTACTGCTACAAGCTATGTGCTATCCCTCCTAGACAGAGTCAGACTTGCAGGGTTCAAAGCTCACTTCTGCCATTCACCAACTATGGTATTGGGTACTGTTTCCTTATCTGTGACAGAGAAAACTAGGATATCATGGGGGTGATGGTGGCGAAGGGCGGGGGCAGAGGAGGAGCGAGCCGGGCCAGGTGCTTGCTGTGCCTTGAGTCCAGTCCTGAGCAGGCCTCCTTCAGACCAGCTTAACGTGACTGAGCTCAGTGGAGCCTGAGCAAGGAGCGGGTCCATTGTGGAGCTGAAGGGCGGGAGGAACATGATGCTGCTGAGATGGTTTCACCCAAATATCACTGGTGTGGAGGCAGAAAATCTGTTGACCAGAGGAGTTGATGGCAGTTTCTTGGCAAGGCTTAGTAAAAGTAACTTTCCGTTACTAGAAATGAAGTCTCCACACTTTCCATTAGTGGAAATGAAGCTGTCACCCACGTCAACATTCAGGACACTGGTGATGACTGTGGCCTGTCTGGAGGTGAGAAGTTTGCCACTTTGGCTGAGTTGGTCCAGTATTACACATGGAACATCACAGGAAATTAAGAGAAGAATGGAGATGTTACTGAGCTTAGGAATCCTCTGAACTGTGCAGATCCCACCTCTGAAAGGTGGTTTCACAAACACCTTTCTGGAAAGGAAGCAGAGAAAGTATTAACGGAAAAAGAAAAGCATGGTAGCTTTCTTGTTTGAGAGCCAGAGCCACACTGAAGATTTTGTTCTCTCTGTGCGCACTGGCGATGACAAAGGGGAGAGCCATGATGGCAAGTCTGAATTGACCGTGTCATGATTTTCTGTCAGGAACTGAAATACATATTGGTGGAGGAGAATGGTTTGATTCTTTACCAGATCTTGTGGAACATGACTAGAAGAATCCTATGGTGGAAACACTGGGTACAGTACTATAACTAAAGTAGCCCCTTGACTCATATAAATGTTGCTGAAGTAGAAAGCAGAGTTTGAGAACTAAGCAAATCAGCTGAGACCATGGATTAGGTAAAACAAGGCTTTTGGGAAGAATTTGAGATACTACAACAGGAGTGCAAACTTCTCTCTAGCCAAAAACAGGGTCAAAGGCAAGAAAACAAAAATAAAAATAGATATAAAAACATCCTGCCCTTTGATCATACACCAGGGTTGTCTTTTACACAACAGCAATCCCAGTGAGCCTGTTCGAGATGATGTCAATGCGCAAATATCAACATGTCTGAATTTGAAACCAAGTGCAACAATTCAAAGCCCCCAAAAAGTTACATTGCCACACAAAGCTGCCTGCAAAACATGGAGAATGACTTTTGGTGAATGGTGTTCCAAGAAAACTCCGGAGTGCTTGTCATGACAACAGAAGTGGAGAGAGGAAAGAGTAAATGTGTCAAATACTGGCCTGATAAGTTTGGTTTAAAAGAATATGGGGTCATGTGTGTTAATGTCAAAGCGCCACTAATGACATTATGCTAAGATAACTTAAAGTTTCAAAGGTTGGACAAGAGAATATGGAGAGAACAGTTTGGCAATATCACTTTTGGACCTGGCTGGACCACAGAGTGCCTAGCAACCCTGGGGGAGGCACTGCAGTGCTGGAATTGGCCAGACAGGGACGTTCATTGTGATTGATATTCTTATTGACATCATCAGAGAGAAAGGTGTGGACTGCAATATTGATGTTCTCAAAACTATCCAGATGGTGCAGTCTCAGAGGTCAGGGGTGGTCCAGATAATTTATCTATATGGCGGCCCAGCATTATATTGAAACACTACAATGCAGGACTGAGGAAGAGCGGAAGAGGAAAGGGCAAGAATATGCCAATATTAAGTATTCTCTAGCAGACCAGATGAGTGGCGATCAGAGCCCTCTCCCGCCTTGTACTCCAATGCCACCCTGTGCAGAAATGAGAGACCATGCTAGAGTCTATGAAAATGTGGGCCTGATGCAGCAGTAGAGAAGTTTCAGATGAGAAAGGCTGCCAAAACTTTGGCACAGAAATAGATGTGAACTTTCAACCTCTCCCTAAAAAGATCAAGAACAGATGCAAGAAAGTTTATGTGAAGACAGAATTTGGATTTGGAAGGCTTGTATTGTGGATGACTACCTTTTGATAAGCAAAATTTGAAACCATTTAAAGACCACTGTATTTTAACTCGGCAATACCTGCTTCCCAATTGCTCATTTCCTCAGACAGGAAGAAATCATCTCTACAATGTAGACGTTATATTTTATGGAATTTTGTTTTAAATTGAGGAAGCAGTTAAATTGCGTGCTATCTTGCTGATTATGGGGATTCAAATTCTAGTTGTGTTAGCATTTATTGTGTTACCATTAGATTGTTATCTATTACTTCCCTGCCAATAGAGCTTTTTTTTTTTTTTTCTTTTTATAACTTTAACCAGCTTAATTCCTTTTTCATTGTAGAGAATGATAAAAATAATTTTGGAAAATTAAGTAACATCTTAGAAAAGTGAAAACAATCCTATTTATTATCATGTACCCAGTAGTGGATAATTCATTTTGATGGTTTCTATTTTTGGCAAAATGAGAATTAAGCCAGTGCCTGAGACTGTCAGAAGCTGACTGGTCTGCCTTTTCATTGTCATTAAAGAGTCATAGAAAAAAAAAATCATGGATATTTATAAATTAAGATAAAAGGTGTGGCCTTTTTATTTTTATTTTTTTCAGCCAACGACCAATTAGTTTGGCTGTTGACTGAGAAGGTTGTGGTGGGAAAACATTTGCCATATTTTCTTTGCATTTGAGTAATTGTCTTGTATTTAGAAAAAATATCTATGAATGACCAGTGTTTTGGGTTGTCAAATGTTGCCGACAAACTTACCCCAAAACTTTAGTGGCTTAAAACAACCCCACCCGCAACTGTTCTTCAATCTGAGCTGGGCTCAGCTGGGCTGTTTTTCTGCCAGCCTGCAGGTGGCCACTCATGTTCATTGGGTCAGTGGAGAGATTGGGATGGCTGGGCTTCTCTCTCTGCCTGCAACCCTGAGTCTCTCCACCTCCACATAGTCTCTTTCAGTGGCCTGTCTGGCAGGGTGGCTAGACCTCTGACACTCAGCTCAGAGCTCCCAAGAGCTTGAAAGCAGAAGTGGCCAGGCCTTCTGAACACTGAAGTCCAGAATTGTCACAGCATCCCTTCTACTGCCCTCTATGGATGATGATGATTTTTTTTTTCTAATCAGAAGAGAGCTGGAGTATGCCCTCTATTTACTAAACAAGCCGCAAGTCCAGCCCAGATTCAAGAAAAGGGTATGAAGTGGAGGTGCAGTTAATTAGGGGGCCACTAGTCTAATGGATCGTCATAGCCAGTGTCATGGAAAACCAAGGATATTAACAAAAGTAGAAGTTACTAGTGACCTTGGGAATCCGAATCTGCTTACAGTAGCTGGGACAAGCTGAAAGTCAGACTGAGAAATAAAGAGAGGGCCTTCAAGAAGCTTCCTGAATGACTTTTGCCAGTATTGAGCCTATTTTTGGAACCAGCACTTGGGGAAACTGATCCTGTGAAGATGGATATATTTAGGGACACAGGGCTTTTGAAAGCAGCACCACCCCATCATGTTTCCCGTACTTGAGAAATGTGATGCTTTCTTCATGCCACTGGGTTTTTAGCCATGCCACAGTGAGAAGGAACAGCCCTAACAGGCCTCCAACCAGGTTGAATGAGCTCATTTTTGTTTCAGACAACTAGTAGAATTTGCTAATTTTCTACTTTAAGTGCCTTTTCCAAAGACATCCCTCTTTGCCTCCTATGTTGAATCATAATTCACTGTGGACATTTCAATGAAAATATCATTGGTTGACTTTTGTAACAGTAATAAAATGCTAAGGCATCTTTCCTGTAAAGCTATGGTCTCCTTGGACTCTTCTGACTTTGGCTCCTGGAAGGAAGGCTTAGATCCAGGCCTGGTAGTAATTCCTTTCTGAGGTCTCTCAGTCCCTTGAGACTCTGAGGTAGTGTGGCTGCCATTCTCACAGACAAAATGTACTTTAGCCCCCACCCCGGCCCCTCAATATTCATTGAACTTTGAGTTGCTTCAGAACACAGGTATGGCCTAAAAGTATTCCCTTATTAGGGAAATGTCATGACTACTGTCTTCTTGTCAAACTTACAAAGAAAAAGTTTCCAGTTCAGTATTTGCAGCAAGAAGCTTGAATCCTGAATCCTGTTTTTATAATTGCATTGTTACATTGACTCATTCTCCATTTTGCTTTGGTTTTGTCTTGACTTGACTTTGGAGGTAAAATCTTTCACCAGCACACGAGAGTTTGATTTGTACAAATACATTTCCTGTTTTAACATCTCTGCCTATTGCTTAACATCAGTTATTTTTATACTCTGAATGGAAACACCTGATCTTGACCAGCTTTGTTTAAGATACTGATTTCATTTAGATTTCTCTCCGCGAGGTCAGCAAACTTTCATGTTCTTATGTAAACTTAGGCCAAGGCCAGAGTTATCATAGTCCCTAGGTTGCTAAGGCTTATCATGTGTTTGGTAAAAGAGTGATTGCAGGTTCTCAGATCAGGTTACTTTACATGGGTTTTTAAAACAAGTAGTAGAAACAAAAAAAGTTCCAAAGAGATGGTTTCTGAGGACGTCAAAGACCCCAGGGCCAAGGCAGTCAGTAATGGGTGAATGAGGTTATTTGGAAAGTCGGTGTGACAGACACAAGGATGCTGAGTACTATGTTGCTGGTAGGTATTAAGTATGCACAATCTTCCATAGCTCACTAAGGATTTTAAAATTATAAGCAAAGAATTGTATATTTTGGGGTGAATTATCTGGCACATGGCATTGGGGTTTTTTTAAAAAAAAGTCAAATTTCGCAGTCTTAATTTTTTAAAAAAAACTAAAAGGTGCTTCAAGTCTAGCGTGTGGGCCTTCTGAAACTTACGGTCCTCTCTCCCACTGAAATGAAGGTATTTTCAAATATGTCTAAATGAGGATGAGAAAACATGGGTAGGACTTTCTTGCTGTGTGTGCATTCTTTAAAGAGCCCAGTTGCTTTGGGGAAACAGCCAAGACAATGGTCAAGATTATTTTTAGAGGTTATATTACGGGAAATTTTAAGAGCTAATAACATCTTGAGTTTTTTTTTTTTTAGTTGAGGGGGATGTGGAAAGGCTTGCAATTGTGAAGTGTTTTGTTGTAGCTTAGTATCCACAAAGGAAACTTAGACTGTAGACATAACTACAAGGCCAGTGCAGTTTTTGTTTTCTGTATGTTGTCACATTTTATTTCTCCTTTGCTTATGAAGTTTAGTTTGGCTGGAAATGAAATTCTGGGTTAAACATTCTTTAAGAATATTGAGTATTGGCTCCCACTCTCTTCTGGCTTTTAGGGTTTCTTCAGAGAGATCTGCTGATGGGCTTCCTTTTGTAGGTAACTTCCCTTTCTCTTTGACTGCCCTTAACAATTTTTCCTTTGTTTCAACCTTGGTGAATCTGACAATTATGTGTCTTGGGGTTGCTCTTCTTGAGGAGAATCTTAGTGATGTTCTCTGTATTTTTTGCGTTTGAATGTTGGCCTGTGTTGCTAGGTTGGGTTGAAGTTTTCCCGAATAATATCCTGAAGTGTGTTTTCTAACTTGGTTCCATTCTCCGTCACTTTCAAGCACCCCAATCAATTGTAGGTTTGATCTTTTCACATAATCCCATATTTCTTGGAGGTTTTATGTATTCCTTTTCATTCTTTTTTTCTCTAATCTTGTCTCCATGCCTTATTTCAGTAAGCTGATCTTCTATCTCTGATATCCTTTCTTCTACTTGATTGATTCAGCTGTTAATACTTGTATATTCTAGTGATGTGTTTTTCAGCCCCATCAGGTCATTTGTTCTTCTCTAAATTGGTTATTCTAGTTAGCAGTTCCTTGGATCACTCCCAGTCAGGAGGCATTGGGGGTCAGGGACTCACTTGAGGAGGCAGTCTGTTCCGTAGAGCTTGAGTGCTGTGCTGGGAGAATCCTTTTTTGTCAGGATCAGCTGCTCTCTTCAGAGCCAGCAGGCAGGAATGTTTAAGTCTCCTGAAGCTATGCCCACAGCTGCCCCTTCTGCCAGGTGCTCTGTCCAAGGAAGATAAGCTCCTGACTGGGGCTGCTGCCTTTTTTTCAGAGATGCCCTGCCCAGTGAGGAGGAAACTACAGAGGCAGCCTGACAGCAACCACTTTGTCGTGCTGTGGGGTGACTTCGACCCAGTCCGAACTTCCCAGCTTCCTTAGATGTCAGAGGAAAACTGCCTACTCAAGCCTCAATAATGGCAGATACCCCTCCCCCCAACCAAGCTTGAGATTGTCCCAGGTCTACTTCAGACTGCTATACTGACAGTGAGAATTTCAAGCCAGTGTTTCTTAGCTTGCTGGGCTCCATGGGAGTGGGACCCACTGAGCAAGACCACTTGGCTCCCTGGCTTCAGCCCCCTTTCCAGACAGGGGAGTAAACGGTTCTATCTCATTGGGGTTCCAGGCACCACTGGATGGGGGGGAAACAAAAATCAAAACAAAAACTCCTGCAGCTAGCTCAGTGTCTGCCCAAACAGCCACCCAGTCTCGTGCTTGAAACCCAGGGCTCTGTTGTTGTAGGCACACAAAGGAATCTCCTGGCCTGTGGACTGCAAAAACCATGGGGAGAGAGTAGTATCTGGGCTGAGTAGCACAGTCCCTCACAGCTTCCCTTGGCTGGGGGAGCAAGGGTCCTGGCTCCTTGCACTTCCCAGGTGAGGCAATGACTCTGCTTCTCTGTTCATCCTCCTTGGGCTGCACCCACGGCTTAACCAGTCCCAATGAGATCAACTGGGTACTTCAGTCAGAAATGCAGAAATCACCTGCCTTCTGCATTGGTCTTGCTGGCAGCTGTGGAACAGAGCTGTTCTTATTCAGCCATCTTGCCAGATCCCAGAAGGAAACTCTTATTACCTCTTCGCTTCCCCTTTATGTGAAGACTTTTCCTGTACCTTCTAGGAGTTGGTAGTTTTAGAGAGAAGACAATTTACTTAGTCTTCTTTATGGAATAATAACTTAATTGGATGAAGAATCAGAAAAATTCACTGGCCCAAGTTTTTGTAGGAGAGGAAACTATTTTAAAATACATTAAGATTCTTCCCTCATGTGTGGCCCTTCTTCTGGTTTCTTGCAGGTTTTCAGACATCTGTCTGTAAAAGATGTTTCTTGTTTCTTCTTCTGCCCCTCATGTGGTAAACACACTAGGGCATAGATTTTTGGTGATGTGTCCTTTCTCCCTACTTCTCAAATGATTCTCTGGTGTCTCTAATTATGACTGGGTAGATAAAAATAGGACTGATAAAAATATTTTTGGCCAGAGATCTGAGTTGCATTAGCCATTCTACTTCACCAGGGATCTTGGTACTCAAGGATATAAATATACTATTTTTTAAAAATTACTACATATTTCTCTAATTAGATTATCTGGAGGATTTGGAGGGACCAGTTGGTATCCTATAAAACTCACTCCTATAATAGATCCCAAATGCCTATCACATCAATCTTATTTTTTTCTGCCTATTTTTCAGAACTCTCTGCAATCTAGAAAAGGAAAAAAATTACATATTTAGGAAATCCCATTAGACTAATAGAAGACTTCTCAGCAAACATTTTACAAGCCAGAAAAGATTGGGGCCTGTTTTTAGCCTTTGTTAAGGACAAGAATTTCATATCCTGCCAAACCAAGCTTGATAAATGAAGGAGAAATAGTCTTTCCCAGACAAGCACATGCTAAGAGAATTCATCACCACCAGACTGGTTCTACTAGGAACACTCAAGAGTAGTAAGTATGGAAATGGGGAAATAATACTTGTTACCATAAAAACATGTGTAACTACAAAGCCCACAGACCCTATGAAGCAAACATGCAATTGAGACTGCAAAGCAATTACCTAATAACACTAGGACAGAATAAAACCTCAATGTCAATATTAACCTTGAAAGCAAATGGTCTAAATGCTTACCTTAAAAGACAGAGTGGCAAATTGCATTAAAAAACCAGACCCAACCTTCTGCCTTCAGGAGGCCGATCTCACTTGTAATGATACCCATAAGCTCAAAGAAATGGAGAAAGATCTATCATGCAAATGGAAAACAAAAAACAATAGGGGTTGCTATTCTTGTATCATAAAATGGACGTTAAACCGATACTAGTAAGAAAAAAAGACAAGGCATTATGTAATTGTAAAGGATTTAATTCAATGAGAGATTTAAATATCCTAAGTATATATGCACCTAGCATCAGAGAACCCAGGTTTATAAAACATATACTACTAGACTTAAGAAAATATAGTTATGCAATAATACTGGTGATGGACTTCAACATTCCACTGGCATTAGATAAATAATTGAAGCAGAAAACTAACAAACTCTGGACTTACACACTTGGCCAAATGTACTTCATAGACATCTAAAAAATATTCCACCCAACAATCAGATGATGCGTATTCTCATCTATGCATGGGATTTTCTCTAAGATTGACCACAGTCTTGGTCATAAAGCAACTCTTAATGAATTTTTTAAAAATCGAAATATATAAAGCATCTTAGACCATAGTGGAATAAAATTAGAAATTAATACCAAAAAGAACTTTCAAAACCAAATACATGAAAATTAAACAGCTTGCTCCTAAATGACTTTTGGTAAACCAGAAAACCATACAAGGATGAACAAAATGAAAAATCGGTTCTTTGAAAGGAAAAACAAGATGGCTAGGCCAGTAGCTACCTTAACCAAGAATCAATAAGCTCAGTCAGAAATGACAAGGTGATAGTGCAGCTAGTACCACAGAAATACAAAAGTTCCACAGAGACTACTATGACATCTCTACATGCCAAAGTAGAAAATTTAGAGGAAATAGATAAATTCCTAGATACATAAAACCTGCCAAGATTGAACCAGGAAGAAATCGAAATCCTGAACAGACCAATAACAAGTTCCAAAGTTGAATCAGTAATAAAGTCTACCAACCAAAATAAGCCCTGAACCAGATCGATTCACAGCCAAATTCTACCAGACGTACAAAGAAGAACTGGTAACAATGTTTCTAAAACTATTGGAATAAATCAAGGAAGGATTCTTCCTCAACTCATTGTAGGACACTGCCATCATCCTAATACCAAACTCTGATGGGGACACAAGTGAAAAAACTAGACCAATATTCCTGATATGAAGATAGATACAAAAATTCTCAACAAAATAGTAGCAAACCAAATTCAGTAGCACATTGAAAAAGATTTTATCATGATCAAGCGGGCTTTATTCTTAGGATGCAAAGATGGTTCAATAAATGTAATTTATTATTGGGATGCAAAGATGGTTCAATAAATGTAATTCACCACATAAATAGAATTAAGAACCATATCCTCTCAATATGTAAAAAAACACTTTTGACAGAATACAACATCACTTCCTGATAAAAATTCTGAAGGAATTTACTGAAGGCATCTAAGGAATGTACCTCAAAATAATGAGCTATCTATGACAAACCTGCAACTGTCATTACACAGAGTGGGCAAAAATTGGAAGCATTCGCCTGAAGACAAAGACGCCTATACTCACCATTTCTACTTAACATAGTACTGGAAGTCCTAAAGAACAATCGGGTAAGAGAAAAAAATAAAAGGCATCCAAAAAGGAAAAGAGATAGCCAAATTATCTCTGTTCACTGATGATATGATTCTACACTTAGAAAACTCTCACCATTCCTCCAAAAGACTCCTAGACCTTATAAATTACTTCACTAAAGTTTCAGAATACAAAATCAATGTATAAAAATCAGTAGCATTTCTATAGACCAACAATGTT